AAATAAGAGAAATTATTCATTGAAGTACCACTGTTAACCATTATTTACTGAAAAAAAAAAATTAGGCTTAATAATTTAAGCTCCACGTATGGATGTTTATTAATTTTTAATGTATATTCTTCTACGAAAATGAGATTGTTTAAAATATCATTTATATTTTGCTATCTTTTTTCGATATAATGAGAATCAGCCGCTTCTATTTTGTGCAAAATCGTTTAAACAACAAAAAAAAAAAAAAAAAAAATAAAAAATAATAATAATAATATAATAATAATAATAGAAAAAATTAATATCTTTTAAGAAATATTTCAGAAAATGGAGGCCTGAGGAATTAATCTTTCCAGTTTTAAAAGAATAAAAGCATTTCCACTCTTTATCGATGTAAAACAAATGACGTTTTGATAGCTGGTCTACAGTTACACGAATTCGAATGTTGTTTCAGATATTGAGACAGAAAATTGATGATGTTCGAAACTTATTTTTATGAGTAAATATAATAATCAAATAAAAAATAGAAAAAAAGACAGCAAAATTAATTTACCAATACTGTTCTGCAAATAATTGTAATATGGCTTGATAGCTGGTGATTTGTCGTATTTTTCCCAACTGCAAATAAATATGTATCTATATAAAGCAAAATGTCTAAATGTCTCTGCTTTAAACGATAGTCTTATTAGTTATTATTTAAATTTTACAAAACCTTGAATACAGAGCACTGCCTATGTGACGCAGATTAATTTGCACGGGGTGACCAAAGTATCGATCAAATCAAATTTTCAAAATTATGGAAATCCACAATGAATATTAATTGCAAATTATTCCAGTGGATGACACTCGTATATTATTCGAGGTAATAATATTACTTGAAATCTCAGTTTGCAGTTGTTGCTGTTAGTTTAAGCTGCAGTTAAAGTTCGACGGAAATTTATAAATCAATTAAGATCTTTCATGTTTATGAATTTAAGATCATAAGGTAATTCTCCCACCTTCTTGGCGTGTCTTCGTGGTGTAGTAGATTCCAGAGGTCCGTGGTTCGATTCCCGGCGAAGGCTATTGCTCATTTTTCATTTTGCGTGCTTCCACAAAATCCTAATGTCTCTACAGTGGCGCCCGAACTAAAAGGTGGTGGATGATGATCTATCGCCCCCCCCCACGGATTTGGCGATTGGGACTCCTAAAAACCCCCAGTCGCCTTTTAAAAGGGGGAGTATATAAGGTATTTCTCCCACCTTCGCGGCGTAGTAGTTCTGCACGGTCGACCGGTATTGTATTTCAGAGGTCTGTGGTTCGATTCCCGGCGAAGGCGGGATTGCTCATTTTTCATCTTGCTTGCTTCCAAAAAAATACCTAATGTCTCGACAAGGTTTACTAAAATACGCCAACTTTTATGTCTGAAATACACCCATCTCCCGAAATGGAACGTAATTTTTAATCTAGGCTTTTGATAACAAAACAAAGTGATTGTTAAAAATTTTATATTCAAAATTCTCTTATCTATTCATTTGGCTTTTCAACCGTTAATTGGATTTCTTTTTCTCTCTATTCTTATAAATCCGGCATACAGCATTTCCCAAGCTTTCCGTATAATCGAATTTTTACCATTTTATCTTATTGTAATATGATGTATGTATAGGATAATCCTTTTAGATCGCATTTCTAAATCAAAATATGTTGTAAACTGTGATCCAGGTTAGGTTAACTGATTCAGGCAAAGCAACTCGAGAGCTATCTGCCTATGGGAGGCATACCTTCGTGGAGGACGTTTTAAGAAAAACTGGCTCGTATTCACGTTACAACATGGGGAAAATTGCGACACCCAACCATACAGCCAGCCCGTTTGCCGGGATTTGATCCTAGGTCGAGCTACCAGTGTTCAGCGACTTTACCGCTCTGCGGCTGGTGGGTCACTGTGTCCCAGGAACTGTACTCTTAAAATTCATAGTTTTCCAGAAAAATGCGAAAAAAGCAATATTACGTCTCATCGGATTTCTGGAAAACAGCATTTTGGGGAAGTATGAATACTGGTGCATGGAAGGGATTTTACGTTTACTCAAGAAGATCCTGCAAATGGCCATCGCACATATCAAACGCGGTTTGCACGTATCACGTAGTTAACTAAACATGATTCAGCAACAAGATAATTATATCTTTACATATAATAAAAGAAAGAGTCTGTCTGTGTGTGTGTGTGTCTTTCGTTCGCGCTGCGCGTAAGCTAATAGACCCACGGCTACGAAATTTGGTACATAGGTGCATCTGGACAAGAGCCAGTGCACCTCGAAGCGAGTTTTTCGAAATTGGAATTAGATTTTTTTTTTAATTTTATGTTTTGCGACGATATCGCGTCATTTTGAGACAGAATGGGCTACTCGCTTTCCTATAGCCCATTATGTCTCAAAAAACACTCTCCATTTTCACATCGTCATGAAACGTAGGCACTTAGCTATTTTACGAACTTAAAATAAATTTCGTGTTTCAATAAATCGATTCAATACGAATTTATTTAACAGAGGGAGCTTAACACCTTTTCAACGGGATTTTTTCTAAAAAAGTTTATTTTTAAAAATGTACAGTTTATTTTTCTTTGATTTTTGGACACGTTAAACTTTCATCCTTGCGACTGCTTTTACAAAAAAGAATTTTGGAAAAAGGATAATATTTTGTATTAAAAAAAAAAAATTAAATGAAGCTTCCGAGTACACTTCTCACACCTCACATCTTTAAAAATGTGATTTTGGCAACAATTTTCCTTTCTTATTGTTGTTGATAGATTTTTGAGGAAATGGCAACATTTTGAATAGTTTCATTCTTTTAGAAATATGGGTTTGGCAACAATGTTTCATCCTATTTCTTATGTCACCGTTTTTAAGAGATTGGCATATTTCATTGTCATTTTTTTTATATATAAAAAATTTTTATTGATTTTTTTTTTTTTTTTTTTTTTTTTTTTTGATAAAGTTGTTCTGCAGAGTAAAATTCTGCGCGGAATTTTTTGAGTTTCTTTCATGTTATTTTTTGCTTATTTCACTGTTTGTAAGATAATGAAAAGTTTTGCATGATTTTTTTTTCTTCAACGGAAAGTTGGTTAATTTTTTAATTAGGATAATTAATATTTGTATTAAGAGATACAGCTTATTTCATCGTAATTTTTTTCTCTTGAAAATATAAGATAAAATATCATTAATTATACTTTGCTTTTCAGAATTTTTTGTTTTTTGTATTATTTTATGTTATTTATTGCTCATTTCACTGTTTTTAAGATATTGAAAAGTTTTGAGTGATTTTTTTAGGAAACTTAACCTCCTTTATACCATTTGAGTTCTTAAGATTTTGCAAAGGGAGGTTGGTTAATTTTGTTATATGTAATAACTTTTTTTTATGAAGTTGTTCTGCAGAGTAAAATTCCAAGCAGTTTTCAAATTTAAACGTTTGGTGTTCCCTTCAGCCATTTTTCCGGTACATTTAAAAGCCAGACGAAGGCTGGCAGCGAAGCTGCTAGTTAGAGAATAAAACATTCAAGTTCAGTAAAGCATAAAGATGGGCAAATCTTTTTGGTAAGATTGGTAAGTCTCTTTCTTTAGTAAATGAGATGGCGCCACAGGAAGATTGCAGCTTGGGACCTGACTGCTCCGTACCCAAACAGTCAAGGGAAGGAAGGCTGAAATATTCAGGTCGCATAAGTCGCAAAGTTCTGATAAATTATGACACGAAGAAAAGTAGTGTATCACTGAGCCATACCAAGACTAGTGAACCGTTAAGGTAGCACAAATATGTTCCGAAATGTGATTATCCAGCATACCTAAAGATACATTTACACACCAACCGATCTGATATCTCGATATAACGAATTCAGGAGTGTTAGATTATTATCACCCATGAAATCACTCTTTCTTTCTAACAATACTGAAGTTATTTTTATACTGGAGTTAATATGAAACAATACGTTTTTTTAGAATCAGGTTTCAATACATTTTAAAAATGTTTTTAATTATTTGTTATTACTATCGGAAATTTGCATTTATTTTATGACAGCGCAGTGCCGAAAAAGTGACGCAGTCAAAGTGCATTTAAACTTCAGCATAATCTCGGCTACTTGTGGATGTCATGTCGCTAGATGCGGTATTAAAAGCTGGATAGGATGCGGTAGCAACCAGTTTCCAATCTACACTGACTACCAATAAGTATTTGGACACCTATGCAAATGACAATATCTGCGGTCCTAAGATACGACCCGGACTCCGCCGGTATATATCGTGTAGGAAACAGCATCGGCTTTAGTCGCATGCAAGATGCCTCGCAGTTCGGAGCTCTCTGATTTCGAGAAAGGTATAATTATCGGGTATCACAAATGTGGCCGATCTTTAAGAGACATATCTAGCGATCTGAAGTACCGAAAATCGACAGTGGCCTATATGATTAAGAAGTGGAAGGTGAGCGGTGATTGTCGGAATGTGCCCAGAGTCGGCAGACCAACGAAACTGGGAGATAGATACCGACGAGTGCTGTTTAGAGAAATTCGGAAGAACCGCACCCAACCGATGGCCATGGTGCCAATGGAGTTCATCGAATGGACTGGCCTGCCCAGCCAGACCTGAACCCTATTGAGAACCTCTGGGACGAGTTGCATCGCCGAATTCAGGGGTGCACTACCCGTGCAAAATCGGTGAAGGAACTTCTATGTCTTCTCCAAGCAGAGTGGAAGAAAATAACATTAGCTGTCATACAAAGACTTGTGGAAAGTATGCCCCGGAATTACCTCTTGTGGAGGCTCTACAAACTATTGATTAACGCTGTAATTATCTCTCGTGGAGGCTCTACCAACTATTGATTAACGCTGTAATTATCTCTCGTGGAGGCTCTACAACTATTGCGGCTCTACCAACTATTAATTTGAATAAAGTTAGTTTTTCTTTTCACAGGTGCCCAAATACTTATTGGTAGTCAGGTATAACGATACTTCGAATGTCAACTTATGGATTGAATAATTTTGTCTCAGTGGAATGTCTCAGTGGAACTCTCAGTGGAACCCTCGTGAGAATGCTGACCACTTAGACGAAGCATTTGCTAATTATAGGGATTTAAACGAGGCATGGAATGTATTCCAAACCAGGTACGAAGGCTTCGGAAATGTGTATGAAGCTTCAGATGAAGGTATTGCTAGCACATCTCAGGAAACTACATACAACGTTTCACCATTTGATGATTCATTTTTTCATCCTCCAACGAAAATAAAGTTTAAAATTCCTGAATTTTTGCAAGACTGCGTACGTTCATTTAACAATAGACGGGCAGGGAAATTGGTTTTCGTTTTCACGTCTACGAAACATTTTGCAGCGATGGACAGAATTAAAAGAAATATATTTCGATTTGTTTTCATCGCGATGTGGAAGACAAGTTACCAGCTACTCTTGTTTGTGCAGTTTGAACGTGAATGGAGAATGAAGGATATAAAACGCGAATTTGCGGGCTGCGGAGTTACTAGCGCTGAATTTTTTTACGCAGTTAAAGTAAAGGAAACTTATTCGAAAATAGTTTCCGAGTACGGCCAGCCAGAGATGAGCGACGGTACTTTACCCGGCACTGCGACGGAGAAAAGCAACCAGAAATTCAACCACGCCCAGCTGGCGGAATTTGCAGAATCGAGAAGAATTACGGACGTGCAGATTTTAATGTGGGAATATGCGCATTTAGCGCACAGAGACTGCGATAGAACCGACGAAAATTCGAAACAGCACGACGAAGACCACATTGAGCAGATGGAAAATGCTAGGAAATTTCTGCACCTCCCTGACAGAAAAAGAACTGCAAGAAACGCAGGTGACGTGACTCGAGCAGCCATTTACGCGGAATTAAACAGAATACCCAACATTAAATACATTGAAAATGAATCGCTGATTCTAGGCGAGAGACTTGTGGAACAAGCGAACTTTCAGGCTCTAGTTGGGCAGGCCAGTTTTTACCTGTTTAACGTCGTTGGTTTCCACAAGTTTAAGTGCACGGCAGTGATTCTTCTGAGCCTTTTTATTCACGCCCATCCAAAACGAAGATACGTATGTTTAAAAGGACCATACAATTCGGGCAAGACCACGTTTGCTTATGCGTGGTGCTCGTTCCTCAACGGAACTGTTTTATCGGTGAACATAGACCCTAGCCGCATGAACTTTACACTAGGAAACGCGATTGGCCATAGATACGTTTTGTTCGACGACGTAAAAGGAGAAGAGACGGAGGACAACTATGAATTTCTGGGCAAGGGAGCTGGTTGGTCGAACTTAGATAACTACAGAGACCACATCGATGGACACATGGAGATCAATCTGGAAAAAAAACACGAGCAATTTACAAAGCAAAAGTTCCCGCCCGGTATTATTACCACCAACAATTATTTGATACCATCTGCTCTGATGGAACGGATACAGGTCATACATTTTAAAGGTAATAAACCTATGTTTGACCTACATCCGTTCACTTTAACGAAAGAACACATCTACACGATCCTAGTGATGCTTAATTTAATTCCAGCGGAACCCCACATAATACAGATTATGTCAGAATCGTTCATCAAGTGGCAAAAGGAAACACGAAAAAGGCTGCAAGTGTCTTCAGAAGGTAAGTCGAAATTTTGAATGGATTTTGGATTGCATTTTAAAACTAACCAGTAAATTTTTAATCACATATTCATGCTATGTTATTGTTATTGTAATCGGGAAATTTGCCCGAAATCATAGTACTACTTTTTAAAGTTTCCTAAAAACTGTAGAGACATTCGGTAATTTTTGGAAGCCGGAGAGATGAAAAATTAGCAACCGCCTTTGCCGGGAATCGGACCACGGACCTCTGAAATACCGGCTCAGTGTGCTGACCACTACACCACGAAGGCACGCTAGGAAAGCGGGAGAAATACCTTATAAAACAAATATGTTTACGAGAAGGGTCACACATTCTCAAATTTAATTTCCAAAAAAATAATACGCATTCTTTATGTATCCTATCTAGAAAATGAGAAACTTGCAGTACTAGTGCTATTGCAATTATTTTAGTGTCCTAGAGTAATTGTTCTTTCCTCAGTTTCCTGTTACTTATATCATGGTTGCATTATTTTCTAAAATCCTTTTCATGTTACAGTATATCCCAGTTTGGCAAGTTAAAGACAAGGACATGACCGAAGAACAGGCAATTGCATTGCTGCACTCAATGAACAGCGATGATGATAACGATGCATTCATTGAATAAAGTACTGTACATTTTTGTTGATAAACAGACCTTTTTTTATTTAGTCATTTTCCCATTTACTTGTATTAAATAGTTTTCATACAAATTCTACTGCGTTCAGCCACATACCTCTGCAAAAGCTGGTGAAAATTATGTTTTTTAGCTTTTTGATTTGTAAAACTTGGTTTATTATTTTATTTATTTTTGATACAGATGTATTTGAAGAGATTTTAATGTCTGTAGCGATGGATTTTCTCTTTTTGCCAACAGTTTAACTTTAGAACCAGTACCTGTTTTTTTCAGGTGATCATTTGGAGTCTTCATTCCGTGCAGATGTAATAATAGAGACAATTTTTCTCTTTCTGATAAATCATTTTTCTTTAATGCCACGCATTTAAAAATTTTTCTCAATTATGGGATAAGGTTATTTCTTTCCTGAAAGCGCGAACACATATCCTTCAACCTACAGGTTGTTTACATGCCACATGTTTGAAAAAGAATTAAGTTTAAGAATAGGAGACTATATTTTTTATTTTAAATAATAACCTGTTGACACAATTGTTTTCCCAAAACATTTGCTTTTTTAATATTTCTTTATCGAAATAGTTCTACAAATGTGTAATTTGTATTATAAGCAAGTCAATTTGTATGATTTTGTTGTGATATATCTGTAAAGCAAATTTGTCACTACTAAATTTTAATTTATTACTTATACTGCTTCCGTCAAATTCCAGAATGAATGCCTTTTTTATATGTAATTACATTAAACGTGAAACATTTGAAAATTTAACATTATATGAAATGTCTTCATGCAAAATTGCACAATTTCTCTAATGAAATATAATCACAGTTGAATCTATAAGTAAACGGAGTATCAGAGATTTCGACAAAATTTGTTAAATATGGAGCTAGTGAAACGTTTTTGAAATAAAGGGAATGTATATTTCAAATATTGTGAAATGAAACATAAAATTTATATATATATATATATGAAGAATTTTGAAAAATGAATTAAATTTAAGAGTAGGAGACTAATTTGTCATTTTAAATAATAAGCTGTTGAAAAAAATTTCGCTATCGAATATTTCAAATATTGTGAAATGATGCATAAAATTTATGTATATGTAACATATATATTTTTATATATCATCTTATTCATTTTTATGAATTTATAGAATGAATGATGCACACTTTTTCTGAAGAATTTAACCAAATACACCTCGGAAAAAATTTTGAAGAACCGATAGTCACTTTGCATTTAATGCGCGGAAAACTCCAATGTGAACACCCATCTTGAATATTTGATGACACACGCGTAAAGACACCATTAGAATCTTTTCAGAAATCTGCACACTTTTCACTAATTACATGCTTATCAAAATAGCACATAGGTAATTTCAAAGACCATTTCAATAACCTATTTGTAGGATGTTTAATATTCGTAAGCCAGACTAAAGCAGCATGATCAATATGTACAATAAAAGGATTGCCATGTAAATAATAATAAAATTTATCTATTGCATTAATAGCTAAACATTCTAGCTCAGTAATATCATAAATTTGTGCAAAAGATCTTAATTTTCTAGAATGGAAAGCATTTGGATGTAGATTACCATCAGGATGTTCTTGTTTTAAAACTGCATCAACAGATTCTTTATAGATGCATCTACAAATACATGACATGGATGTTTTAAATTAAACAAAGCTAAAATAGGTCTTGAAATGAATGCATCTTTTAACTTTTGAAAAGCTATTTGACATTCAGTAGTCCATTTATAAGGAGAATCATTTTTTGAACTAAAGATTCTTCTGTATCCGTTGACTGATCTAAGACAGCATCAATTCTAAGAATAGGCTCAGAATCTGTTTCAGTAATTTGGTTAAGTTTTCGACAGTCAATACGCAATCTAGTTTCTGCTTGAACAATTTTTGCATTTGGTCATCAACAATTTCACTATTTGTAGCATAATTATCAAATTGTTTAGTACTTACACTATTTTTGCACACAAAATTATTTTGAAAACGTTTATTTGATAGTAATAATATCTAATAATATGTCCTTTATTTTCAAAATACATTTAATTGAGAGATTCATTTATTTAAGATTCAACTGCAATTTATATATTTTGCTACTTATCATATGTCATTCGCTAAATATTTATAGTTAATAGAACTATGTAAATAATTGAAGAAGTATAACATGAAAATATACGAATATTATATATATATGAATTTAAATAAAAAATTGTATATTTCAAATGTTGTTTTTGCAATATCATAAAATTGCATCTGTCATGACATATGAATGAATTTATACATTTTGATATGAATAGAGATGTTTAATTGAAAATGTTAAACCTTTAAGTGAATTATCATTTATTCTTAGTGGATGTTGTATTTATGTAATACTTGATAATGTTGGAATTTATTGATTTTATTATTGCTGTAAGTGTATCTGTATAAGCATATAATGTTTTCTAAATTATGTTTACCAAAATTATTCCAACGCACGGTGAATGAAAAACATTATTAAAACTAAATTAAAAAATTTTATAAATATTTTACTATTTTTAAAATGAGTTTAGGATTTAATTAATGTTTAAAATGTAACTTCGTACCTGATTGCAGGGCTCGTTTAAATTCCTAAAACTTTTAAGTCACCAATCTGATAACCATTTTTCTGTACTATCCAATTTTGCGTTATGATTTCCATAATAGAAACATTTTTTTTAAATTTCCGGTTTGTGGGGTACTGATTTTCATTCCTCAGTGTCCTTCAGTCATGGTGGGTTTATGCTTAGGAAGAGCTCCTTTTGAAAGACTAAAAGCACAATAGAACTTTCTATTGATAATACGTCGAGTCAATTTTTTAATATCCGGTTGTAAGAAAATCCATCAAACATCGCACTGAAATTTTATTTGCATTGGCGGAAAGAAGTTCTGTACATTTTTGTTGATAAACAGACCTTTTTTTTTATTTCAGTCATTTTACCATTTATGTTATACTAAATAGTTTCATAAAAATTCTACTGCGTTGAGCACATGGATCTCTCTGCAAAAGCTGGTGAACATTCTGATTTTTAGCTTGTTTGATTTGTAAAACTTGGTTATTTTATTATTTTTGATACAGATGTATTTGAATAGATTTTAATGTCTGTAGCGATGGATTTTCTCTTTTTGCCAACAGTTTAACTTTAGAACCAGTACCTGTTTTTTTCAGGTTATCATTTGGAGTCTTCATTCCATGTAATTGTAATAATAGACAATTTTTCTATTTCTCATAAATCATTTTTCTTTAATGCCACGCATTTCAAAATTTTTCTCAATTATGGGATAAGGTTATTTCTTTCCTGAAAGCGCGAACACAACCTACAGGTTGTTTACATGCCACATGTTAAAGAATTAATTTTAAGAATAGGAGACTATATTTTTTATTTTAAATAATAACCTGTTGACACAATTGTTTTCCCAAAACATTTGCTTTTTTATATTTCTTTATCGAAGTAGTTCTAAAAATGTGTAATTTGTATTATAAGCAAGTCAATTTGTATGATTTTGTTATGATATATCTGTAAAGCAAATTTGTCACTACTAAATTTTAATTTATTACTTATACTGCTTCCGTCAAATTCCAAAATGAATGCCTTTTTTATATGTAATTAATTAAACGTGAAAGATTTGAAGATTTAACATTGTATGAAATGTCTTCTTGCAAAATTGCACAATTTCTCTATGAATATAATTACAGTTGAATCTATAAGTAACGGAGTATTTGAGATTTCGACAAAATTTGTTAAATATGGAGATAATGATACGCTTTTGAAATAGGGAATGTATATTTCAAATATTGTGAAATGTAATATAAAATTTATAATATATATATATATATGAAGAATTTTGAAAAATGAATTAAATTTAAGTGTAGGAGACTACATTTGTCATTTTAAATAATAAGCTGTTGAAAAAATTTCTCTATCGAATATTTCAAATATTGTGAAATTTGATACCTAAAATTTATGTATATGTAACATATATATTTTTATATACCATCATACACATTTTAATGAATTTATAGAATGACGCACACTTTCTCTGAAGAATTTATACCAAATACACTTTGGAAAAAATTTTGAAGCAACGATAGTCACTTAATGCAAGGAAAACTCAAATATGAACACCATTCTTGAATATTTGATGACACACGCGTAAAGAACCATTAAAATCTTTCAGAATATGTGCACACTTTTCACTAATTACATGCTTATCAAAACCATAGATAATTTCAAAGACTACCTGAATAACCTACTTGTAGAATGTTTAATATTCTTAAGCCAGACTAAAGAAGTATGATCAGTGTGTACAATAAAATGATTACCATGTAAATAATAATAAAATTTATCTATTGCATCAATAGCTAAACAATCTAACTCAGTAATTGCATAAATTTGTGCAAACGATCTTAATTTTCTAGAATGGAATCTAGAAAAATGTAGATTACCATCAGGATGTTCTTGTTTTAAAACTGCATCAACAGCTTCTTTATAGATGCATCTACAAATACATGACAGAGATGTTTTAGATTAAACAAAGCTAAAATAAGTCTTGAAATGAATGCATCTTTTAACTTTTGAAAAGTTATCTGACATTCAGTTGTCTATCTATAAGGAGAATCATTTTTAAAAAAGATTTTTATATCCGTTGACTGATCTAAGACAGCATTCATTCCAGGAATAGGCTCAGAATCTGTTTTAGTGATTTGGTTAAGTTTTCGACAGTCAATACTCAATCTACTTTCTGCTCGAACAATTTTTGCAATTGGTCATCAACAATTTCACTATTTCTAGCATAATTATCAAATTTTTTGGCACTTGCACTATTTTTGCACACAAAATTATTTTGAAAACTTTTATTTAATAGTAATAATAATAATATCTAATAATATGTCCTTTGTTTTAAAAATACATTAAATTGAAAGATTCAGTTAAGATTCAACTGTAATTTATATATTTTGCTACTTATCATATGTCATTTGCTAAATATTTATATTTATAGTTAACAGAACTATGTAACTAATTGAAGAATTATAACATGAAAATATACGAATATTATATATATATGAATTTAAATAAAAAAATTGTATATTTCAAATGTTGTTTTTGCAATATCATAAAATTGCATCTGTCATGCCATATGAATGAATTTATACATTTTGATATGAATAGAGATGTTTAATTGAAAATGTTAAACCTTTAAGTTAATTATCATTTATTCTTAGTGGATGTTGTATTTATGTAATACTTGATAATGTTGGAATTTATTTATTTTATTATTGCTGTAAGT